GAGAGAGAGAGAGAGAGAGAGAGAGAGAGAGAGAGAGAGAGAGAGAGAAAGGGAGAGAGAGGAAGGGTTATTTTTCAAAAGCTTGGTGGTTAAGGGCCGGCCGAGTAGCGTGTTGATTAAGAGTTGGCTTGGGACGCCCCGGTTCAGATCCCACATTAGGGCCAGTGACGCTGTGCCCTCTACAGCTAAGATGGTAAACAAGAGCTCAACCTGGAGCTGGGCTGCCATGAGTCGCCAGTGATGGCATAGGCTGCAGTGAAGCTGTAATGGGCTGTCATAAGCTACCATGAGTGGCTGGCAGCCCGCCTGAGCTGCCAAAAGCCGCCGTGAGTGGCCGGCGACCAGTCTGCCTCACCTGGGAAGAGTGCAATGATAATACCAACATGGGCCAATAAAGCCACATCTCCACAACTAGACTGAAGAACAAAAGGACAGTAACTTGTCTGTTCCCCTTCCCCGATTCCCCAACGCTGTTCCCCTCCCCCAATTTCCCAATAAAATCTTTAAAAAAAAAAAAGCTTGGTGGTTGAATCTGCAGTGAGTTTAAATTAGTTGGATACAGGATGCAGGATTGCAACATGACCACGTGTGCATAAAAAACATGGAACTAGGTGTCAAATAATATACTTGTTTTCCTGGGATCTATTACTACCTTGCTGGGTGATTTTAAGTAAATCTCTAAGTATCTCCAGGCTTAAATTTATTCACCTATATAATCAAGGAGCTAAATAAGGTGATTTGTGCATGTTTTTTCCCCAGTTCTAATAATCTCACTTCAGTCCGTTTTCCAGCAGGTTATGAATGTCAGGTGCATTTTTTCACAGATGCACTTCTATATCCATTTTCCTGAATATTTCTACATCATAGTTGATAACATAATTTTGATGAAAACAAACTTATTCTGCTCTCTGGCTTTGTCAGGAGTCATCCTCGGAATCTTCAAAATTTAACTGCTTTCATGGACAAATTTTTCTCCCCCAAAGGACTGAGAATGGCAACTACACCACCTTGTGGCCATGTCTGAGAATTAACATTTCCCTGGTAGCCTGGCAGCCTAAAAGAAAATGTACCCCTCATTCTAGAATACTGAAATATCCCTCTTTATAATACATCATGGAAATGCACGCACTTTTCTACAAGTTAAATTATTTTCTAAATGTTACATTTCCAGTGGCGCATATATACAAAACATTCACTTTTTCTCTCTTGTATTTTTTAAACAAACACTTATATCATGTTTCCTATATGCCAAAAAGCATTATTTTAAATTATTTACAAATCTTATCTCATTTAGTCTTAATAACAACTTTAGGAAATAGGTACAATTATTATGCTTTTATAGCTAAGGAAACTGAGGCATGAAGAAGTTAAATTACTTGCCCTAACTCAGAAATGTTTGATAAACCCAACAATTATGATATAATATTTTGGAATAAAATATAGCAAATGAAAGCCTTTTTAAATTTTTATTTTATCACTTTCTCATTATTTGCAATATATCTATCCAGACCACCAGGTAAAATATAGGGCACTTACTAACCTACTTGATAACAGATATAAATAGTAGGCATATATTACTGGAATTATACATGAATCAAAATAACTCTATAACAATATGGGATATATACTTTTATGATATAAATATTCTACGTTTAGAAATGAATACTAGAGTTTAACCAACTAATTTATCTCCATTAGATACTTCCATTAGACTATATCTAACTGTTACCTAATTTTAATGACAATAATTCTCCAAATATGTTTTCAAGAGCCTACCACAGTGTCTGGGACATATGAAGCACTCAATATTCACTCACAGGTAAAATATTTCTTCCCTCCTTCTCTTTCTTTAAACCCAAATGTAACAAAATTGTAGCACGGTCTATACCTAACAACTAAAGTGTTTTAAACTACACTGTCAGTTTCAGTTTATAGGCAAAGCAATCTCCGTGGGGACTTAGAAGACTATATCACTGTGTACAAAGAATATTTAATCATTTTAACTAAAATTTACAATTAGAATTCTACTGTAATAATCTTATATTACCAAATGGATTAGAAGCTGAGGTGCTCCTTTTCCACACACCTGTTCCATGTTCAAGAACACAAGTAGGGTAACATTCCTAACCTCTGTTTCCTTAGGAGAGGAGCAATGACTTAATGAGACTGGTGAATCTGGAAGGAGAAACTAGGCACATATAGTCCAGCCCCTTCCTTACTCCACCTCTTGGGTACCACAGGAAGCACACATTCTGCTGTGTTTCTTTATGGCATATACTTTACAAGAGCAAGCCATTAAGTGAATAGGCTTGTCCCAGTCCAGATCTACCTGTGACAGAGTAGGTAAATTTGTCTAATTTGGGATTGCAGGATTAAGAAATCCTCTTGCCTTCAAATATAAGCTAAATTCTCCAATACTAGTTATCAATAATATAGATATTATTTTGGTTTTCATTGTTTTTCTCAATTGGTTCAGACTTAAGTGAGGAAAGTAGAATATCATTTACTTAGCCCTCTCAAAACCCAAAATTAGACATAATCTATCTATAAGCTTTAGAATTTTTAATGAACACATTTTTTCCTCTAACACTGGAAATTTCCCCAGAAACACATAAGTACCTAACATAAGATAATACTATAATGAAAATTAAAGAAGACTGAAATCTTCTCTAAAACTCCAAATGACAAATGCTTTAAAGTTTTAACTAATGCTTTTAAATTAATAAGTAGAAAGAAACAATTTAGGAAATGAAATTGTGTGATACACTTTATATGTTCTTTTCCTATTTATGAACAAAATATTTTTTCTAAGATGTTAGAAAATGAATTGGTTAAAAGAAAAACTGTGAAAATTATTTAAAACTCTTACCTTGTCTCTTTTTTCATTGAGAGTAGCGGTGTTTTCTTTTGCCTCTCTTTTGAGTTGTTCCTATGAAAGTAAATATCAAGTACATAAATGTAGTCATTATTATTATCACAAATGAATGCTTGTATTATCAAAATCTTTCTTAAGAAGTATTAACAACAGGCTGGCCGAGTGGCTCATTTGGTTAAAGCACGAGCACTGAGCAACAGGGTTGCCGGTTTGATTCCCACGTGTCAGTGAGCTGCGCCAGAGCTGAGCTGCCCCTGAGCTGCCAATGGGTGGCCAGGTGGCTCAGCTGGTGACAGCGCGTGCTTTTAACAACAAGGTTGCCAGTTCAACTCCCGCATGGATGGCGGGCTGTGCCCCCCCACCCCTCGCCCCTGCAACTAAGATTGAACATGGCACCTTGAACTGAGCAGCTGTTGCTACCCATGGGTGGCCACATGGCTCAGTGTGCAACAAAGTTGCTAGTTCGACTCCCACATGGGAGGTGGACTATACCCCCCTCCACCCCTGCAACTAGATGGAAAGCGGCGACTGGACTTGGAACTGAGGCTTGCACCCACCACAACTAAGATTGAAGGACAACAACTTGACTTGGAGCTGATGGGTCCTGGAAAAACACAATGCTCCCCCTCCCCAATTCCCCAATAAAAATCTTTTAAAAAAAAGTATTAACAACAAAGAATAAGACCTCTAAATTTTATAAAAAATAATAAAAAGAAAATAGAAAAATAAATTAGTTCTTCACTACAGAAAAATGTTATTTGGTTTTGAATATCTTTTTTTTTTTTAATTGGGGAACAGTGTTTTTCCAGGACCCATCAGCTCCAAATCAAGTAGTTGTTTCAATCTAGTTGCAGAAGGCGCAACTCAGCGGCCCATGTGGGGATCCAACTGTTGTGAGCACTGCGCTCTAACCAACGGAGCTAACCAGCCACCGCCCCGCCACCCCCCCCCTTTTTTTTTTTAATTCTGATCTGTCTCTAGTATGTATCTGTGGAATCTTGACTAAGTCTTGTAAAACTCTGAATCTCAACTTCTAATTCATAAAATGAAGTGGATGGAACAGATTGTAAAGTAAGGGATACACACAAATAACTAACAGTGAGGAGCCTCAAAGAGATCCAAAATGTTATGGGCCTTTAGAGGCAGAATTCACTTTTTCTTTGTGTGTTGACTTTGAATAATGAACTTTCAATATGAGATTAACAGAGATGAGAGAGAAAAAAAGAAATTACAGAAAAGTACAAAATACAGAGGAAATAATACATCACTTTTGTTAGAGATTAGGGTATGTGTATTCAGCAGAAGAAAGAGAAAGAGAGAGAGAGAGAGAGAGAGAGAGAGAGAGAGAGGGAAAGAGAGAAAAAAAGAAAGATAAACCCTGACCTATAGCAAAGAACATGTAGTATGCCTTAATATGACAGTCATCTAGAAAACAGAACTGGTTCAGCCCCAGGGAGCCTTGAAGTTCTCGGAGAAGGAAAAGTTCCAATGCACAGAAGTTTAGGAAAACTTGCCTTCCCTGCCTATGATGTCTTTGCCAATATCTTTCTTCACTGAATGCCTTGTGTACACCATGGTATCTCTCCTACTATGTTGCTCCTAACCAGAGAACTCACTGCACTATGAAAGATCGCAATAAGCTGATATAACAATAGTCACTGTTCTTATTATATATCCTATCAACCGCCAATGGTTGATCTTTAGAACTACAAAACAGCCAGAAAAAAATTAGATGGCATTAGTAAGTCATTACCTAAAAATAATTACTTTAAATGTAAATGGATTAAATTCTCCAAGGAAATTACATAGAATGGCTGAATGGATAAATATACATGACCCAATAATATGCTGCCTATGGTAATATGTTGTCTTACACTTAGGCTTTAAGGACACTCATAGCCTAAAAACTAAGGGGTGGAAAAAGATATTCCATACAAATGGAAGCCAAAAGAGAGGAGTGGCTATACATAAATCAGACAAAATAGACTTTAAGTTAAAAACTGTAACAAGAGACAAAGAAGGTCATTATATAATGATAAAGGGGTCAATTCATCAAGAGAATATAACAATTGTAAAAATACATGCACTTCAGAGGAGCATCTAAATATATTAAGTAAATACTAATATATCTGAAGACAGAAATAGACAACAATACAGTAACAGTAGGGGACTTTAGCACCCTACCTTCAACAATGGATAAGTCACAGAAATCAATAAGAAAACATTGGACATCGGCTATACTTTGGACAAAACAGACCTAACAGATACAACTTTCCATCCAACAAAACAATATCCATTCTCAAACATATATGGAACATCTTCAGAATAAATCATATGTTAGGTCACAAAACAAGTCTTAACAAATTTAAGAAAACTGAAATCATACAATGTATGTTTTCCAACCTCAATTGTATGAAACTGGAAATCAATAATACAAAAAAAAACTTGAAAATTCAAATATATGAAAATTAAACAACACAATTACTGAACAATCAATAGGTCAAAATGAAATCAAAGGGGAAGTCAAAAATATCTTGAAACAAGTGAAAATGGAAACACAGCATACTGAAACTTACTGGATGTAAGCAGTTCTAACAGGAAAGTTTACAACAATTAACACCTACATTAAGAAAAAAGAGGAGAGAGGTCCAAGATGGTGGAGTAGATAAACACTGTGCCTGCTTCCTTCCATGAACACAGTAAAATTACAGCTAAATTAAAGAACAATCAATCTGGAGAACCATCTGAAGTCTCGCTGAACAGAAGTTTTATAACTAAGGATATAAAGAAGCAGCCACACTGAGACTGATAGAAGGGGTGGAAACGCAAAATAGTCTGGCCCTAAACCTCTGTGGGGTGGTTGAGAATCAGGAGGTATACCTTAGCCACAGAATTTCACCCCAGAAGAGCAAGGAACCTCACCCCCACACCAGGATCCCCAGCCTGGAGTATTGGTACTCAGAAGAGGAGGCTGCACAACACCTGGCTGTGAAAAACAGTGGATATTTCGACAATCGGGTGGGACAGGAAGACTGCAGGAAACCCAAGATGTCCTCATAAGGAGTATGTGCACAGATTCACTCACTTGCAGATACTCACCCTGGGCCCTCGCAGAGGGACAGTGACTCAGGGGGTGTCAGAGGCATTCAATGGGCAGACTGAGGTGTCTGGCCTCGAGGCAAGGCTTAGAGGACAGTTGCCATTTTCCCTGTGAGGGGCACATCTCCTGTGAAGTCAACAGAAGGGTGCCATCTTCTCTGTGTTGAACCCTCCCTCACAGTATAGCCAAATCTGAATCTTAATTTGTCTGGTGAGCTCTGCTGAGACCCAGCTCTACCCAACTCCCCCAACGCCAGAGACACTTTCTCAGCAAGCAGCCAGCCCCACCCACATTGCACTCTTTTTTGGGCAACTGTCAGGGTCTATGGGCCCAGGTGGGTGGCAGCTGGCCTCAGTGTGCTCTGAGACTTTTGCTGAGTAGCTCCAGAATCAGCACTGGCACCAATCCAGAATCTACATTAACCTGGTGACCACAACTTCCCAATTTAGTGACTCCCTGAGACCCTGCCTCACCCAACTTCTGTACCATACGAGGCTTTATCAGTGGATGAACCTCAAGGGAGCCAGCAGGTGGCAGCAGGCCTCAAGGTGTCCTGGCTTTTGTGGAGTTACCCCGGGCCCAGTACTGGTGGTAGATGTCCTCAGTTCACAGAGTAGCCCCTCCCACACACCTCCAGGTTTGGCACAGAGAGCAAATGACTGTGGTTTGCTTTGCAGCTCCTACCAGGTAGTCCCCACCCAGTCACAGGCAGTGTGTGACCTGGGTCTGCACTGAAGCCCCTCCCAAGAGGCCCCAGAACCAATATACTTGGAGGTTTGCTTCAGACCACAGCACAGCACCATCCAATTAGCCCCACAAGCGGCATACACAAAAGGCTGTCTCAACAGTCTGTAGAGCCTGCTGGGGAAAATCCCACCCAGTGCGGTAAGCCCACATACACAGCAGCCTGTAAGTTGTGGACATGGCCAAACCCCACAGCCAATCAGCCTGAGTATCAATCCCATCCACTGATGTGCCAATAGCATTCAAAGCTCAACTATAATAGGAGGGCACACACAAGAGACACTCCAGGAGCACCTGGAGCTGGTGACCACGGAGACTGTGCCAGGGCCCCAGAGGGCACCTACTACATAAGGCCACCTGGCCAAGACCAGGGGACATAGCAGATCTACCTCATACACAGAGAGAAACACAGGGAGGCATCCAAAATGAGGAATCAAAAGAACACATCCCAAATAAAACAACAAGAGAAAACTCCAGAAAGAGCACTAAACAAAATGGAGGCAAGCAACTTACCAGATACAGAGTTCAAAACAATGGTTATAAGGATGCTCAAGGAACTTAGTCAGAACTTCAACAAAGAGATAGCAAGCATAAAATATGACATAGAAACCATAAAAAAAGAACCAGTCAGAAGAGAAGAACACAATAACTAAAGAAAGCATGCACTAAAAGGAATCACCAGGAGATTAGATGAAGCAGATTTGGAGGACAAAATAGCAGAAAACACCCAACCGGAACAGTAAAAAGAATCCAAAAAAACGAGGATAGTTTAAGAAACCTCTGGGACACCATCAAGCATAACAACATTCTCATCATAGGGGTACCAGAAAGAGAAGAGAGAAAACAAAGGGATTGAGAACCTATTTGAAGAAATAATGACTGAAAACTTTCCTAATCTGCCAAAGGAAATAGACATACATATCCAGGAAGCACAGAGTCCTACACAAGATGAACCCAAACAGGCCCACATCCAGACACATTATAATTAAAATGGCAAAGGTTAAAGAGAAGACAGAATCCTAAGAACAGCAAGAGAAAGGCAACTATTGGGTTGTCAGAAAAGTCATGACATATTTTTCTGTTTTTCATTGCAAAAATGCATCATGACTTTTCCAACAACCCAATAGTAACTTATAAGGAAGCTCCCACAAGATTGTCAGCTGATTTCTCAACAGAAACTTGCAGGCCAGAAGGGATTGGCAAAAAATAT